TCCCAGGGGAAAAAAAAAGATCCATCACTTCCATTGTATTTTAAGACTGTTAACTTACAAATGTTTAAATAACATCACCTCAGTAGATTTTGTTGAGTGATCATATGCTATTCTACTGAATGTTTGTTAATATACTACCTTGTTCTTACAGAATTTTTTTAGGGTAATGCTATGTGCCCTCTTTTTGGTTTTATCTTTGCTTACTTTAAAGCTGTGTGTGTGTCTGCTCTGACCTCTGTAACATTTATTTATGTTCTGTGGTCTGAATCCCCCTGCCCCTCTTCCAACCTCTTGTCTCCTCTTTGTGCTTTCACTCTTAGTTGCATTGTGGTTTTGGGGCTTTATGGGTTGTTTTGGGTTTTTTTTTTTAATAGATCAGATTCTCTCCCCCCCGCCCCGATATAGTTTTGAGGGTTTCTAGTAAAAAGTTCTTAAATAGTTAAGAAATTTAAAAAATATGTAGACAGCTATAATCTTAATTGATTTGACTCAATTTCCAGCTTTTCAAAGTCCTTTTAAAGTGCAAATTGCTATGTAATAAGCTGATTATTTATTATAAATAAATGCTGGTGAATCAGTTGTCTTATTTCCTATTGCAGTTGGTCTACAATATCTAGTATACTTACCTATTCCCCTGGCTATTGCTTATTTAGTCTATTGAGATCTATCTTACAAATTTATGTTCATGGATTAAATTGATACTCACAGATTAGGGCTGAAGAGTTGATACCTATGCATGCTGGTTTTGTTTTCCCCCTTTGGGGCCCTAGCTACGTTTATTTTTTCAGAATTCTTTAACAAATTATATAGTAGTAAAGACAGATTATAGCCTTTCTTTTCTTTACTACTCTCAAAATTATTTAACTTCTAATTAGTGGTACAAGCTTTACTGCTTTGACTAGGTACCTGTGTAGAGCTGAATTATGTAGTGAGTATTAAAGATTGTGCTGGAGCTGTGCTGTCATAGGGGAAAAAACATTGTTTGAAATGCTAGGCTCAGTGGCACTGGCAGTCCAGAAATGAATCCTGGTCTCCTGAAGATCTTACATTCCTGTTTTTTAAAGGGGAGAATGTTTCTTTGGCTAATCCATGTTGCTAGAAATCAGCCAGTAAAGTCCACTCTTGGACTATCAACTTCTCTACTACTGTTTTCTCGGGGAGCCTGGTAGCTACTTCATCATTACAAGTGCTCTCAGTTTTAAGGCAGTAAGATGATACGAAGACCTAACTGGATGATATTTTTTCTTTTTTCTTTTTTTTCCTGGGAAAGCTTGAAGTTTAGCTGTTGTGTTTACCTCTTGTCTTAAACTGTTAACCAACAAACTGTAATTACACTGTAAATTTATGACTTAAAATTTTTGGTTACATGAGTGAGGATTAAAATACCAGAAAATATGAAAGTAAAACTGTTTGGGTGCGGAGACAAAACTAGTGAAACTTGACCATGCTGGAAACTGCATAGTCAACTTCTGTTTTTATTTTTTTTAGTTTTAATTTTTGTGCTTGTTACTCTTAAGATAAAAATGACACATCCATATTCTGATATTTGTCAGAGGACATTTTAGAGAATAATGTTTCTTAAGTATTGCTTTACTTTCAGAGCTAACAGTTGTGAAATAGTAGTATGTATGTAACAATCTCTGCATTTAAAAAGTTATTCCACCCTTGCTTCAGTGCTAATTCTTCACTTGCTGGAGAGCCTTCTGAGATAAAGATGTTTTACACTTTTGTAAATGATGGATTTTTTTTCTTTTCATTTTTAAAGAACCAACTTATTTTCTAAATTCTTGCACTAACATCCAAAAGATGTTTTCCTTACGTAGGTTGCAAGGAATGTTGTAAGGTTTAAATGTATGGCTCCTTTAATTGTGAAGACCGTGTCTAAGAGAAAGCTCTAAAGTATTGGGTTCTTCACGCCTTTTCCTCTCTTCTAATTCTGTTATTCCTGCAACTTTTCCACTGGCCCTGCTCTTCAGCTGCTGTGAACTGTCAGACACTGAAATAAAGATGATGAAAGTATAGAAACCGGAATTTCGCAGAGACAGCCATGTTAATTTCTGTTCCATTTGAAATGCAGGAAAATATCATCTGCCAAATGGAAAAGGACAGTCGGTGGGAAAAGAAATGTTCTTTTCAAGCTTCTAAAAGCAGTGACAATGGAGAGAAAAATACTATAAAAAGTAGGCAGCTCCTTTTTCAAGATTTTGTTTTCAATGTATTGTGCATGATTAACTGTACACAGTTGCTCTTTTGGAGTCGTGAATGATGGAGTACTACATCGCAGGGCTTATACTGTCTTGACTGCATTGTACTTTGCATTGGGGGGGCATAGGGCTCAGCTTCATGGCGGTTTTGCCAGTCTTCAGTATAGTTTTTGAATACATTCATACTTCCCTTATTTGCCTTTTTTAATGTCAAGCATTGCACATAAGATGTTCTGCTGTTGCTATGCAACTGCTAAATCCAATATTTAATATTAATAAAACCCGAGTGGCATTAGCATCATTGAGAACAGTGGGCTAGCAAACTATGATTGTACAATATCCAAGCTGTAAAACTTGGCAAGGACTTCAGTGTGCAATTGCATGCATGGCAAATGGCGGGCGGGGCATGAGTCATTGGCAGTTACTATTTAAAGAGTGGTGAGTTTGAGTAAAATTTCTGAGCTCTTCTGAATATAATGTATTTTTTTAAGCAAAAAGATACAAGACTGAGGTTCATTAGCTGTTTTCCTTAAGGTTTCATTTCAGATACAAATTCTGAGGGGTCACTACCCGTAAAAGAGTCAGTGTTGTAAACCTATGGGTCAATGCCCTGATTCTCCTATTTTTTTTCTAGGTCAGGTTGGTCGGCCCTTTCCCACTGTTCCTGCCACTTCCTGAAGCCTGAATTGGCTTTTTTTGGAGGCAGTGCTACTTCTCTGCCTGACAAGGTGCTGTTCAATGGGATGTTTTTCTAGTTTCTCCTCTTCCACCTTGTTTTCTGATCTCTCTCTTATTTCTCTTTACTCTTGACTCCTATTTCACCATCACTCTTTCATCTTTTTTTTTTGTTCTCCACTTGGTGCTTTCTGAGACCAGACTTTTAGTATCAGGCTGTGATAGGCATTAGACCAAGGATGGTGGTGTGCCCTGACAATGCTTTGGCCATCTATGTTGTGTTGCAGGCTGCAAATTCTGTAGGGTCCTGTGTCTGATGTCTAAGTATGTTAGTGTGCTGGCACTCGTGCTGACACCCAGAGGGATGTCGTGCTACTAGTCCTTTCCTTTTGAAGACTGCTGTCTAAAAGATAACTTTGATATTAGATCTGTATATAGTCAGAGTTATTTTAGATTTGTTGCTCTTTTGCAATGTAATAACTAATTTCCTTCATAGCATGCGATCATTTAGATTTTGACTGGTTTCTTAAAAGGGCTATTTCAGGTAGTTTATCTGTCCCCGATTCACCCGTGCAAGTTTCTGTAAATTTAAAACCATATTTTTGTGGGGTTTTTTTTTTTTTCATTTCTTCTGCCTCTCAAAGATTCAGGCAAGTAGTAGAAGCTGCCCCTAGCTATATGCAAACCGTTATTAAACCTACAAAGCAAAAGTATTATTGGGGGGAAAAAAAATCATGAGTTGTAGTCTTGAGTTTTATGGTCATATTGGGAATACATTTTTATAAGCAGGTGGAATTTGTCTGTCCCCCTTGAAGTAGTCTTTGTACTTTTCATATTCACTCTGCTAACCTGTCTTCTCACAGTATTGGGCAGTTAATAGATCTGTAGATTTTACTGCCAGCAGGGATTTAGCGTAATATTGATTTAACATTTCCAAATAGTGGCAATAATTTCAGTAAAGGTTTTTCCTCTTTTGGAATAAACTAAATCGGGTAGACTTATTTTAAATGAGGCATAAATCATGGCATTGAAGTAAATGGGACTGTGTATGGTAGATGTGGATCTGTGATTAGAATTTGGGTCCTTAGTGGCATGGTGCTGCTGAATCCCTTTCCTTCGAATTTTCTCCCTTCAAACCTGTAACTCTTCAGGAAGCACTGATTCTAACATTTGCTGAAATTCAGAAAAGTAACTGAATGCCACTCAGATGGAAGAATGCTTTTTTTTTTTTTTTTAATTGGGAAAACGTACCTTATTTCAGTTTGGAGACTGAAGCAAGAAAATGTTTTTCATATAGAAATTACCTGGTCACGTTGTAGAACCTTTTCGAAATGGTTTATTTCAATGTCATAATGTTCTTTGTTTTTAACCTAGCTATTTACAAAAGTACAGGAGTCAGTGGACTCTAGATTGTGCTATGATTTGTCGGTAGTTCAGTCATCACAATTGACCCATGCATCATGTAATACTTAGAGAAAACGCGTTGAGCTCTGTTCTTGGAACAGATAAATATAGAACTGCTATTGTGAATATTCTTGTAGTGACGTACTTAATCTAGAAAGCTAACAATTCTTTTATTTGCTTTTAGGGTTTGAAAGTATTCTAGAAGGCCTGTTTGGACCTGGATTATTAAAAGATCTCAGTTTGTTTAAAGGTATTCAATCTCTATGTTCATATCTTGTTCTGCATTTCTAATGTCAGAAGCAGCCCCAGCTCTGCCTCTAGAAAATGTGTGTTACCGTGGTGATTTGTGCTTTTTTTTCCCCCTCCCCCAGGCAGTGCTCACAGTTAGTTTCATATTGGCTAAAATTACTAATGAGTGTGCGTTCATCTTTATGTAGCTGAGAGTGTATTTGGCAGTGCTCAGAAAAACAGATTTGTTGTGCATAGATAAAATGTGTACTGTTTGGTAATCTGGGGATTTAGAAAAATGGCCGAAATGAAGCCTGCATCTTCAGAATGCAGGCAAGAATGTTGTGAAACAGGTATTTAATTTGGCATTTCTCTTTTGGCTCCAGTTATGTCGCGGTTTATGAATATGAAGTAATTTGCTATTCCTCTGATTTACAGACTGTGAGCCTGAAGGTGTTTCTGATTGGTCTTTTGATGAAAATTGTCTTTTCTGCTGCCTGAGAAGAGAAAAAGTGAAGGTAACAATACAGATGTGTGAAGCTAGTAGTTGTAGGGGAGGGACAAAGGGAGGGAGTTTGCTCCTAGTTAACTGAACACAGAAAAACTGCAACCTCCTACCCCTTTCTCCTCCTTCGGAAAAAGGCTTTCTGAATTAAAATAGTGCAAGTTAATGAACAGACTTGCCTCCTCTCTGCAACTTTTTATTTGTAGTATGTGATGCAGATTTTTCTTTTTTCTGTGTAGGGACTTCATCTGTTTGGTGGGGTTTTTGTTTGTTTTGGGGTTTTTTAGTTCTTTGTAAAAGATCTTGTTGGAATCGTGAAACCCTTCCCAAGGGAGCCAGACTGTGACTTGTGCATGTTTACTCCAGTCAGATGCTGGGCTTATCTTCAGCATGGAAATGTGGTTCGTTTAACAACCTAGAGTCTTGTTCTGTATCTTGGAATCTACCTGTGGGCCATATCCTTTTATTAAAGGGCTCATATGTGTGGTAGATTTTGTACTGTGCTTGTTTATAACCAAGTCAGAGCCTAAACGTGGACAAGCTGGCTTTGCCAACGCTAATAAACTTGCAGTTTGTTTTCTTAACAAGATTATAGCTGTATATGAAACAAAGGCTATCGTGCTATACGTGCTTGTTGCTCAGCCCATGTGTTGAAATAATGATTGTTCTATAGCATAGGAAGGAAGGCTCATCTGTCTTGGCAAAACTTCATTTGCTGGAACGTTTAACTGCTACTTCTTCCTGCACAGTGTAAAATAACACACAGAGTGGATCTCTGTCAACTTAGGAATGAAACAAAAGCACTCTTTCAGCAGCTAACATGTATGGCTCATGGCTTGTTCGTAGAGGAAGTACCTTATTGATAGTGATACTTGCCATGTTGCCAGTTTATGCTTGGTTTTGCCTTACAGTTTTTGTTAAGGCATGGGGAGGAGGGTTAGGAATGCTTGCATTTAGAACAGATATAACCCATAATACTTTCTTTAATTGAGACTGACAGCAGGTAAACTGTATGTATGCTTGTGCTGTAAGGAGTTCTGTCTTGTTTGACTTGTGTCATCTCATAAAAGACAAAATCAAGTGTATAGCACAGTTCTAGTTAAGCCATTGAATTGATTCAGAAGTTAATTTTGTGGTGTGGTCAGAGACTGGTCATAGCCTGGGAGTATCTAACAGCGTATGGGTAGATCTTCAAAGACTGTTCATATCTCAGTTGTCCTCACAGATCCACAATAACTCAAATAAGCTCCTGAAAATCAGTGACTGTTAGTTGAAGACAAAAACTAAGAACGCGAATGTCTGCTGTATAGTGTGCTGATTAGGCACAGTTGTCTTGTCCTCTTCAAGCTTCTACATAACCTTTAGTCAGAAGCTGAGATACCACTATTTATATTTTCATACACCTTGCTATGCTTTTCTTTCTGGATTCACATAGTAAAGTGCAGCCCATGATTCTGAGTATCACTGGCAATGTATTCCTTATGCTAGTGCTAGTTATCATTTACGTTAAGGTTCCTAACATGGTTTCCCATTGTACTATGTGGTGGCTTTTAAATGAGTAAAAGAAAAGATGCAGATATGGTCACATCTGGTATGCTCTGTGGTGCTCTGTGGTGTTTTGGCATTAGAAGTTTAAGGAGATTTTAGGATTGTGTACAGACTGACACAGAACGCAGCCAGGGCGTGCAGCATCGCTTTGCAAAGGCACTAGGTGAAGGGGAAGGAGGTTATAAGTTCTGAGCAGGCTGGAGAGAAATGCGAGTGAAGAAGGGCTGTGGTAGATCAGTCAGCCACTATGGGCTTGGGTAGAATATTTTTTGTAAATAAAACTTAAGCAATTTCTGTCACTTTACACTTCCATAGCCACAAATGCCTGTTGAAACCATTTTTCTTACAGCTGATTGATAAACAGGGACCGCAAAGAGAGCTTTGTACACATACTTGTTTGCTGCATGGGCAGGAATCACTGGCTGTTTGGGAGAGGGGGGAGTGGGGAAGGAGGGTGAACTAGTCCGTTCAAATCAGACTTATGACTTCTCTGTTAATCCTGGTGATTCTCTTCATGCTTGGCTCAGGGCTTCTTTGGAGTATGTAGGATTTTTTATGTGTGTGGGTTTTGGTTTTTTGTTGTTTTGTTGTTTGGTTCCCCCCCCCCGCCTCCTGCCCCCCCAGCCTCTATATTGGTTCTGTTGAGTTTCGGTATTAGGGGGGAATTGGTTTGTTTTTGAGGGAAGAACGTGCCTCCTTTTTAGACCTAGTGAGTTCTTGTATGTCGGCTAAGAGAGATGGCAAGGTGGGAGTGCTTCCTTTCCTCTGTGGGTATGCCAAACTGCTGCACTGATGGCCATTGCTGATGTCACTAGCTTGCAATACAGAGTTAAATATGACTCTCTTATGGGAGCCTTCAAACAGTATGGATTTGACAACATCATAATTTGAATTAAAACACCAGAGACTTAATTGTTACAAAAGTGTTTGTAACTTCGTTTGGTATTCAGCTAAATGATGGACAATCTTCAGCTGATGGACTGAACTGAATTAGAAAGGGTGCTAGTTTATTTGAAGTCTATTCCATTCAACATCTATACCGATATCTTTAACTTGCCTTCTTTTTAGGGAGTTGCAGGCTCAGTCTTCTGTAACTGCTAAAACTTACATGTTCCTGTACATAAAGTGGTCTCAGATGTGCTTTCTGTGCCACATCCTCTATTCTACTTTGTTTTATTTTTAATGTGCATCCTCTTACCTTTTTAGGAAGAGAACTGGGCAGGATGGCATGATTTGGGTTTATGCTTGTGTACTGCTGAGTTACGGAATTAAAAGGTGTGTAACTGATGTTGCAGCTGGGAGCAAGATAGCCGTGAACCACATACTACAACAGTGTGTGGCTGTGACTGGCCTTTTTTATCAATGGTACATCTCTACCAATACCCGCTTTTGGATTAGTGGAATAATTAATCAGTGTACTTGATTTTCACCTTTGAGTGACTTGTAGGTACCTGGTCTGATGAGTTCAAAACCAATAAAAATCTTCAGGTATTTTTTCTGGATTTCACTTTCCTTTAAGAATTACCTGTAACTTAAGAGGCCAGTAGTTGTGCTCAAGGAGAACTGAATTCTGGACTGCAGGATGAGAATTGGAGGCCAAGATCAGTTTATTGGCAGTGCTGTTTAAGGGTGAAAAAACTATGCTTGTTCTCCCACCCATTTCAGTGATGTTGGTTCTTGCTTTTACAAGCAATCGGATTCAATTACATGCATTCTTCAAAAAAACCCTCAAAGATGGAGAACCATCTGCTGAAGTACACTGAAAAAATTAATTTATTTGTAACAGTAGTCCTACTTGCAAATACCAAGCAAATGCATGGGTTTTTTGGCAGGCAAGATACAAGAGAAAAGGACTTAAGTGTCTTTATTTGAAAGGGATAATAAAATACAGACAAAGTAGGGAGCTAAAATCTTCCCAGAAATATTTTTGCCCAAATCCAAAGGGTTATGTGCAATAATGTAAAGCTTTTGGAATTTAGAATTTTTCCCATCATATAATGCAGAGTACACAATTGGTATGATTGGAGAGAAGAACTAGTTACCTAAGGAGAAGTTAGCAGTTCTAGCTGCCTACTCATAGTGAGAGGAAGTAGATCAGGTTCTGTGGGACCAAACTGGGTGAATTCTCATTTGGGTGGTCTGCAAATGTGGTAAGTCTCAATTTCTTGGCTTTATCCTTCACAGGGAAGACTTAAGATGGTATAGTTTGCAAGGTGGTTGGGCTTTTTTGGGTTTTGGGGTGTGTGTGTGTGTGTGTTTGTGTTTGTTTAATGAAGCTTTTTCTTCTGAGAGGTTGTGGTACAGAGAAGACCCATCAATTCAGACAAATTGAACTTTAAAGTGCACTTGACGTACCTCTTTTCAATCATGGTTCTTAATTTTTAAGTGTGGCTTGTTAAATAAGCTAACAGAGCTATCATTACAGAAGAAATCTGTAGCTCCAAGTAGAATGTTTGTATCAAATGAGGTAGTCTCTACTGTCATAGTTGGAGCTCAAGCCTAGTTTAAGATTTATTTTTTTTAAAAAAGAGATGCATATAGATAAGGCCAGAAGAAAGCACCAGTAATAAGAGGGGAAATTGTAAAAAGAATCCTTAAAGAGGATTCAGTTGAGTATATTCATTTGGAAAGGAAAACACTATTGTCTAAAGCTACATAAAGCAATTTGTATGTATTAAAAAAAAAAGGGGGGGGGGACATGACACAAAACTAATCTCATTAGTTGGTGAGAGCAGAACAAGAAGGATAATGCTCCTAAGCATGTTAACTATTTTGTAAATATAATTAAGCTACAAAAATAGCAAGAGAGAAAATTACTTCTAGGAACATTTTCTGGACTCTCGTGCTGTTGATGGCAGGAGGTTGAGTCTGGTCTTCAAAGTACTGTAAAATGCTTGGGCTGTAGTATAAGGACTCTGACTATTCTTTCAGTTGTGAAGAAGTGTAGTAGGGTAGAGTATGTGAAGGCATCGTTTTAAAATTCAAAGTGATATGATTTGGATATTTTTAAAAGTTTGTTAGTCCTCGCTTTACATCTAAGAGGTAGTATCATGCTGTTACTTGGTTATGATTAGTCATAATAACAGCCTCTGAATCTGCTGTCCTTTCACTATGGAGGAACATAAACAGTAAGAAGTAAACTGTGGTAAGTGTCTGAATACTTCCAAAGAGAAGCTACCACTATCACGTAAAGTGTTAACTCGTACAATAATTGAAGATGGCAAAGGAAATATCTGAAAGTGAGTTGACAGTGCAGAACTCATGATTTTTGATGGCTTTAGAATGTGTTTAAACTGTGTACAGAGATCCTAAGTGCGCTGGAAGATGCTCTGAAACATTTCTAGTGGATTTCATAACTTTAAAGCACGAAGCATTTAGTCTATCAATTTTGTATTGGGTGGTTTTAAAAGAATTTGATATGGAGGCTAAAACCTGAAGAGGCTGCTTGTGATAGTCTCCAGCTGTGTTTAGTAGTAATGCGGGGTTACAGTTTTGCTTATGCATAAATATGAATGTAAGCGTATTGTACTTCCACTGATTTTCATTTTTTTCCTCTCCCTCTTAGTAGACAGTGCTAGATAGTAAATGATACTCAATAACTATGGATCAGTCAAGTTAAATTTGTTTTGAATTTGATAAACCTGACATGAGTCATCTTAATAAGGAAATAATACTATTTCTTACTATATGAGTATATATGCTCAGTAAGTGAGGGACATCTTAAAACTAATTTTAGTCGCTGCCAAGCTGGGATCAGTTCTGGATGCTTCAAAGGGCATGCTCAGAATTGAAGATCTTGATAAATTTGAGAAACAGGGCAGACAGACTTGTTTTGTTGAGTCACAAGTTACAGATGTCTGAAAAGTGAAGGCATTGTAAAAGTAGTAAACTGTTTTGGAGGCTATATCAAGAGAGGCATTTGTCTTAATACCTGGACAGGAAATTCTTCTCTTACCTAAGTCTGATGCAGCCTCAGTTGGGTGTAGCATTTTGAGAGACATGTAAACAAACTGAATAGTATTGAAATGAAAGCAACAAGAATGACTTGGTCTTGAAGGTAGAAGGAAGAGAAGGAAAGAAGACAGTTTCTGGTGCCCTGAAGGCTAGTCTACGGAAAATAGTAGGTTATTCTCCTTTGCACTGGCTAAGCGTTAATAAGACTGTACAGTGTTACGAAAAATGAAGTTTTGGAGAAGACAACCTTGGGATGCTGAAACATTCCTGTCTTACTGTTCCTATCTTGCTGTGATGTGGGCGGCTGGATTATATCCCTAGGGTCCATGGGTTGGCGGGTCAGCCATCAGTGGTCTATGGGAAGCCTCCCTCCGTTTTCTCCACAAAGGTGGATAGGAATTATCTCATACTGCTCGAGCTTGTAGGCGCGTTCCGCTCCATCTGCCTGTGGCTTAAACATGAAGCTGCTGTTGCCATATCTGTACAAAACCAGCCTGCATGATACCTTTGTCTTCATGCCAGCAGTTTAGCATTTAGAATTGCTGTGTCAACATTACCTACAAGGAGGGTTTCAGTGAGGATCCAGCACTAGTGCTGACAAGGTCAGGCTGTGCAGGATTAGGTGGTCTCTCAAGGTCACACGTTGGCCTTGCAGTTTGAAAACCTGAGCTCTGTATTTCTAAGGCTCTTTCACTTTATTATAAAGTTATGCTGTATATTTTAACAAAAAGAACTTTAGTCCGTTAGGAGCATGTGCAAACCACTCCAAGTGTCTTTGGCTGAAGCTATATTGTTCAATATAGTGGTACTGCATGCTCACTGATGGAATTCCAGGGTTGCTCTGGGACATATTTTCCATGAGAAAAGGAGCACAAAGAGAATAGAATGAATGCTGTGGTATAAGTAACAGGTAAAAGTGACTGGTTGTTTTTTTCACAGAGTATTTGTAACCAATGACAATGCTATCTAAATATTGCAGGTTTTTCTTCTTCCTGCTACCTGTATGTTGATACTGGAAACTTTGTTATGATTCAGGATTGTAGAGTGAGAGGATAAGACTGAAGACAGTGGATCCAAGTAGTGGTGGTTGAGAAGAAATGGTGGAAAATGTAAAAAAAAACCCCAACACCTCCACCAAAAAAAACCCCACCAAAAAACCAAACTAACCCAAACAAACAACAAAAAACCCAACACAAACCCAACGACAAACCAACCAACCAAACACCCCCGCCCAAAACAAACAAAAGCCCCCCACTTTTGGAAGTTGACTTTGAATAGCAATCACAATCAAATATTTACTGTGGAGACTTGAAGTTTCCTTTTAGAAGTGAACCAGCTGCGAAGATTGCTGGAATAGTTGTAACACAACTGATAAGAAAATAATTTAAAAATGCAATAAACAGAATCTTTCTAGTATATTTTGTCTCATGTAGTCAGTGCTGTACTGCAGATGCTGGAAAATAGCTCACGATCTTTTTTCTATACACAAGAATAAATCTAACTCTTTTTATATAAATGTATTCCTTTACATTTTGATATGTTAGCATAGACATTGATAAAAATTATACATGTGAAGAGATGTATGCTCCTAAGTTTGAGGGGTAAGAGGTAAGTGCTGCCATTGCCTTGCTATTCCCCTCTTCTCCTGAATGCGGATCAAATGATCCTTTATTCAGCTATTCACCAGTGTAAGCCACTTAGGAGTTATTTTCTGGCTGATCCCTTTTTCTTCATTCCTTCTCTATATAGAAAATGTACATCTTTAGTTACCCTACATAGATTAAATTGTACTCTTTATACATTACCATTGTATGAGTAGTGTGAAGTACATTTGTTCATGGTGAGTCATGCTGCCGCTGAACTCGGTTTTCACCGAGTTGCTGGGCTAGTACTTTCTATGCATTGTCTTAGTTGCAAAAACTACTAGGAAGGTTTGAAATGCATTGTGTTGGGCAAGAGTTGTTTTCATTTTAGGCTTCTTCCAGAGCTATAGTCTGTCACAGGGCAGAGTATCAGATCAGGTTGAAGGGGTAAGGTTTCATTCAATTCCGAATTCTCTGTTTGTCCTTTGAATTAAAATAAAGTTTTTTTGCAGTGGCTTGTGGGACTTTAGCCAGAGGACGCTAATTAACTCTAATGGATCTCTTTTGCAGAGATTCCTTTTGAAGTAAAACTTAAAGCAGTTTATCTGTAAATGCTTAAATATTCCAGTGATTGTTCCAACATTTCTGTATGCCTAGATGACGTCTGTTATTAGTTAATTTGCACGAATGTCTGCCTTTTACACAAACTGATAAGCTGAGTTGACAATTATCCTGATAATGCTTAAAATGTAATGGAGCTTGACTCAGAATGGCTGTCAGTTACTAGGATAGATCCTGTATTAAGCTCTGTCAGATGCAGAAACACAGTTTCAAAGAGAGAATGCAAATATGTTCTATTAAGTCTCACCTGGAGAGTAACTCGTAGAAGAATACTGAGCTTATTCTCCACAAATGGTTTTATTGTGAAATCCTGTAGAGATATGTCGCATATTTTAAGTATTACAAGAGTACAACTGCATTTTCAGTGTGTTCATAAAACATCAGTGAACTGTGGTAGTACTACTACTTGTTACTGGTGCAGGAGTACCTGGCACAGAGGTGAACATTTTTATTACAGTTAACCCATCAGTTCAAATTCATATTCTCTGGTATGGAAAAAACCGTCAGTCGCTTTGTGAGGTATTTACTTCTGGAGACTCTTACCTTCACAGCAAACGTTGTTTTATTCGCCTGTCACCTTTGTTATTGTGTGCTGTTTAGCATAAAATACTGCCTCGTCTCTATGTGCTGTCTGAGATAGTATCTGCCTTTACTTTCGATAGAGAACTTTTGGAAACTGTTGAATTACAAATCTTGAGGTGAGTGGCTGTGTTGTTCAGGCCAGAGTCCACAGCATTTTGTATTACTACTCTTTGCGCGTAGTTCACGTGACTGCTGTGTTCGTTAATTTACTATGGGCTGGTTATGTAACCTTGCTTCATTAAACCTCTTGAAGTTGAGATGGCACAAACTTAAGAATGACTTCTTTTTTTCGTTTATTGTGAATTATGAATGAATTGCCAGTTCTTCCGTCCTAGTCCTGTGAGGATATGAACCTGAAATCAACTTTTACACTAAAAAAACAGATGTAGCCTAGATATGATGGTAACTGATACTTTGTAAAGGTTAACAAAACAGAATATTCCCTATTCCTGCAGTAGGTAAATACAGGTAACTTTTAATGTAGCTTAAAATAAAAGTGAAGGGAGAGAGACAGGAAAAAAATTGTACTCCTAAGCAGGAGCAAGGCATTAAACTGAAAGAAATGAGAAAATGGGTGTGTCTGGGGGTTATCCAAGCGTTTAGATTTTGTATTTTTGTAACCGTTGTCTGGTGTATTTAAGTATTTTATCCTGGCATCTCACACAATGTATTTATCCTAGCTATAATACTTGTTTTGAAATATTCTTGAGATAACTCAGTTGCTTCCAGTTGTAAGAGATAGAATGAATTTTAATTCATTTCAGGTGCTGCAAGCAGATAACTTCAGTTTATTTCACTTAAGTAGCTACTACTGAGCCTTTTCACAGAAGGATGGGTTTGTTACTAATGCTTGGTTATTTGTTGCTCAGTTTGCATCAATGCTGTGTAGAGGGAGGAGAACTTGCTGTGTTTTGCCTTCAATGGTTATTTCTTAGAACTGAAAGTAATAGCCAAAGAACAAGTGCTGGATAGGAGATTTGCAGCCAAATGTCTTAAAATATCTAAATGTTATTTATAGCAGACTCTTTATTTTCCATAATGTTACCACATCTTACAGGCTTCTGCTGCATTTACAACAAGAAAACAGGACAAAGTACAATGTTCTGGAGCAGTGAAAAATCAAGTTATGATTTCAATAGTCAACTCTGTGCAGAGTACCTAACGAAGTTTTGAATATAGTAGAATATTTAATGCCTAAGGAACTTTATTTGTTTTGGAGTCAGGAAGATCTTACAAATATTAAATATCTTTGCAGGAACACTTAGTCAGTCTGGATGAGCCAGCCTCGGAAGCTGGACAAGAAGCTCTGCTTAGACAAGAGCAAGCAAAAATCATTCGTTTTGAAAGGCAAGCGGAAGAGTTCCTCAATGCAGTCTTTTACAGAAAAGGTTGGTTTTAATGGGGGGGGGGGGGCAATCAAAGATCTGACGTTCAAGTTGTCATTGTATGTTCAGTATTTTTCAGTTGTCTTCTGTATTTAGATACATATATTTATCGAGAGTAAAAATTGACTCTCAAATCAACAATGTGGGCGTGGGAAGAGGAAGAGAGTATAATATGTTTAACCCTAAAACAAATCTCCCCATGAGAACACTGGTGTTTTGTACTTTTGGAGGAATGACTCATTTCTTACCCAGCTCCCCTGAAACCAGTGTTTAGGTGAGTGGGCTGTTTGGAAGAAGGGGCAAGTGGTGGTAGTAGGTGGGTGATTTATTTATTTTTATTTTAATGGGATGTGTGCTAATGCAGCCTTTCTTAAAGGTCAGCGGTCTTCTCATATGGTCTGTAGTGATTACCCACCCCACCCCCAGCAATCCACAGTATAAGATATTGTTGGAATAGTGCTAAGGGGCTTATGTGGAGAATTCAAATCATGATCAGCAAAAGACTTGGAAAATCAGTACTGTGGAATATGCTGACAACAAAAACAGTAGCTCAATGCAAGAAAATCCTCTAAATCTCTTCTGGAGAGTGATGTCAGTTAAACTGTGCTCTTAGGAAGGCACAAAACTAATTTCACTATTCTCTACCAATCTCAGAAACGGGAATCCAGAGGTTGTTTCCAAATACATCTTGAATGAAAGTATATTGTACTTATCAGTCTAACCCATGTGTGAGAAAATCTGCCAAATCAGTAATTCCAACCTGTCTGCTGGGGGATGATGTGAGGCTTCGCTTTAACAAATTAGAAATTGCTGTAGCCAGTCCTCAGCCCTTCCTCCCAGTGACCAAAATATTTAAAGGTGTTTTAAGTAGATAACAGTATCTTAGCTTTTCTTTTATGACACAAATGAATAACTACAAACTATACATTGTAATGTATTGCAAGAAGTATAGAAGCATGTGGGATGATAGGAAGGATAGTTATTACATTACTACGGATAGTTCAGGTGATGCTTTTATTCCAAGTCTTCCTTTTCAGTGTTTTGTGGTTTGGCTTTTTTTTTTCTTTTAAGGTTAATGTTTCCTTTTGCCTTTAAGCTTATCCCATCTCTCTTAAATCCAGAAGGGATTTAAGGAAACAAAAATCTAGAGAAAATACACCTTTTTCATATTACTTTTCTGGTGAAAGAAAAAAATACATTTCCATCACTTCAAAATTGTTTATTAAAGATTTCATCTCTAACACCGAGCTTAAATTTTTATGTATGATCTGTGCACACATCTTATTAGATGTGCATACTTTCCTAATTGTTGGAAAACTATTGGCAGATACTGCAACGTGCTGATGAGGGGTTTGACACTCTGTCCATGGTCAGATGCACAGAAAGAAGATAATGAAATCACTTCAGATGTCTTAAGAATCTTCGAGACTTTTTTTTTAATGTGCTCTTGCTTTCCTTCCTCTGGCAAAGCTGTGCTTGGTGCAAGAGTAATAAGAGAGGGGAAGAAGCCTGGCAGGAAGTTGGTTCTGAATCCTTAATGCATCTCTGTCAAGCTTGGCTGTACTTAGCTTGAAAGGTTACTCTAACTGATGCCACTGCCATAAGATCCCCAGGCACTGTCATACCAAAGAGGACACAAAGAATGGCACAACTCTGACGTTCCTACGTTGCTCAGAGATGCTGGGCTCTCCCTGGCTTCATGCAGCGATCATTTCTTTTTTTTCTTTCCATCCTCACTGCCAGTAACATTTGAGACTGGTGGTGTAGCCCAGGCAGATCAGAGAAAATGCAGATGTTCTGTGAGCAGATGCCTGTTGCATGTGAAGGACGTGCACTGATGTTCTTAACATACATAGGTAACTAGCAGTATCAACAAACGTTCTGAGCAGGTTTTCTGTCTGTTAATCATATGGACTTTCTCTCTGCTTTGTGCCCATGGCACTCTGGCCCAGTAATGCTTCTTTCAAATATTCATCCTTCCCATGGTAGTACCTAGTTGTCTGTTACCTTTACCTTGTGGCAGGGTGATGGTTTAATGAAATTGTACCTTTTCTTGTTTGATACTGCCCTTCTAAGATTCCAGTTCAGATAAAATACACAAAAGCTATTGAGGTTTTAAAGCTCAGAGGTACTACTTTAGACTATTTATAGCTGATAAATATTTGCTGTGTTTTTCTTCTCTGAGAATTTCTAACTTTTAGTTTATTTTAGTTGTTTTGTTTTAATAGTTGTTTTGTAAATGCGTGATTCTTCTTCAGAAAGCGTAGGTGCCATAGAACTCTGCATTTCTGTCAGCCCCACTCGTATATGCTACAAGCACGTGTCGAATAGTTGGTATCAGTGTGATCATGCCATCAGTTTCTGCCCTTCTGGGCTTTCCTAAAGCCTTTCGTATGTCCTTCAGCAGGCTGTAGTAGAGAGGTTAGAAAGTGGAAGAAATGTCACCATAGCGGGAGGGAAAAAAGCCTCCACGCTTCTCCAGGCTTGTGTCCTTGTGAACCATTTGGGAAGAAAGTGAGAATATAAATGTACCTAAATTTAAATCTGGCTTATCTGTTGGTGGCTTCTTAAAACTCTAGTGTTTCGTCCTTACTTTCAGTAAAACATCCTGCAGATTTTACAAGAAAATGATTACGTATCTGTGTAAACATCTTGGAAGTTTACAGCTATTATACCCCTATAAAAATATACGCGGTGACTGTATGAGATCTTGGATTTAGAAAGCTATGCTTAACAGGACGGAATTTGGGCTTGATAAGTATTTGAAGCTTGGTATGGTTTTTCATTGAGAAATACAGTAGCTGCTTACTGCTGCTCTCTGGTTTGTGGGCCACTCCATGCTTAAACCTGCAAGTCAGTCATCCTTTATAGATACACTAAAGCTGGTTTGTTGGATTGATGTACTTTTGTCAAAAATGGGGGCAAAAGGCAATTCTAATGCTTAAATGTCCCACAGAAGATTTTGCTAATGCTTCTAATAGTTCAATCTCAACAGATTATCTTTCAACCTGGGCAATTTATTTAAAAACAGGAGGTGAACACTTCTCTATTGTTCTGTTTTGAGAGCTGCTTTTAAAGATTTGTTTGGTCTTCTACTGCACAATTTTCTATTTCTGAAGAAACATTCACAGAAAATCAAACCTTTTGAGCTATTTCTGGAGTTGTTGTGTGGTTGTGGTGTGTTTTGTTTGTTTTGTGGGGTTTTTTTGGGTTGTTTTTTTGTTTTTTAAAAAGATTTGGCCAGAGAACACAATCAGTGTTTGAGGTGAAGTGGCAGGACTTAGTTTCTGTGATTTAGGAGTTACAGATTTGCTTTCACATCATGAATTACTACTGGTCTAAAGCAATGATTTTTGCCAATACATTTTTGAGTTGCCCATATCCCCAAATAGCTTTGTATTTATACACTATTTCATAGAAATAAATTGGAATGTCTACCTGTTCCATTCCAGATTTCTTACTAATAGATTTAGCAGCTCTTCTAGAAATAGAATTACATTTCATGTGACACATCTTGGTTTTTTTGTATATGTGAAAGTTCTTTGGGTAGTCGCTGATGCTGCATTGATTATAATGATAGAAATGTCAAAAGGAATAGATAGAATGGGAATGGAAGACTTGAACGTTTGATCTTCATGTGAATTATTGTGAAAAATCAGAACTATAGGTCTTTATTTCTCAGTAAACTTGTAGGGGACTGCTTCAAATTTATTCTCTCCCCTTCTGTACCTGCAGGTAAGTTACTCAATTCTTCCACTGAATAACCTGTCTATTTTTTTTCAAGTGAGCTTCATTACTTGGTACTATTCTTTGTTGGGTCTGTTCCAGACCTCTTAAAGGTCTGGTCAAATATATCTATATTTGAATACAAAAGATGAAATTGCATATTTCTCTTAGGAAACTGTTGTTTTGGGAAGGTTATGCCAGAATTAGCAATGGTTCTTGTTCAGCTATTCTAAGACTAAAGTACATTTTCTGCACAGACTATTTTATCTTTGGCTTTTTTTTCCCTATTTTTTTTAATAAACTATGACTTAATATAAAAGCTGTTTTACTTAAAGTGTTTCCTTAAAAAAAAAAATCTCTAATATTTACAGACAGTCCTAGGGTCTCTGACCCCAATATTCCCCTAGTGGCCCGTGAGATCATGCAGCGAATGATCCGACAGTTTGCTGCTGAATATACCTCAAAAAATAGCTCTACTCAGGACTCCAGCCAGCCCAATAGCACAAAGAACCAAAGCCTGCTGAAAGCATCTCTGGTCGCCTCCTCTCCCACGGCTGCAACTGCTCAGAACCCTGTGCTCAGCAAACTTCTCATGGCTGACCAAGACTCACCTCTGGACCTTACTGTCAGAAAGTCTCAGTCAGAACCTAGTGAACAAGGTAGGACTCTTACCAGTCTCTTGCATCCTACAGCAGTCTGTTAATGGCATTCGTGTTGCAAAACCAGACAGTTAGAAGTTTGCACTTTTACACAGAACGTAAAGTGGAAAAGTGGTAGATGTTTTTACAATCAAATAATGACTAGCTAGATGTGGCTGGGAGAGAAGAGACTTTCTGAGATAATGTAGGCCCATAGATGTGAGTGATTTTTCTGAAGAAGGGCAAAGGGGATGAACATGCTCCAAACTCTGGGGCCAAGTGTGCCGCTCCTGCTGGGAGCTGCAAGAAACAGTATGCTTGCTGAGAAGAGAAGTTTGTGTGGTCATGAAAACCTTAATGTTGCCTCCTTTCTGAAGATCAGTACACAGTCTGACTGAAGGACTGATGTATTTTCTTTCTAGTCATAGTGTAAAAACAGTATGTTTTAAAAGTCTCTGAGAAATTGCTTTGTGAAGGCTGTAAAAATGATGCCCATGAACTGTTCAAAAAAACTTCCAGGTTTGTGCAGTTGGAAGAAATGTCTCTTCTCTGCCTTAAAAATAGACTTGTTCTGCAGAGCACAGATTGAATAACTGGTAACAGTGTTGCAGAGCTTCTTTTAATTTGAAAACTGTATTTTCCATCAAAAATGTTTTTAACAAGGAAATTCTGAGTGATTATAGTATGTGAGTGTTTTTTTCTGAAACTGTTGAATAGGGGTTATCATAAGTGTACCCTACTGATAGGATTAAAATTAGCCCCTTTACCCTTCTTTACAGGTGTGTTAGTGTCTGAAATCATTCTATCAAATACAAAGTAGATTGTCCACCCTCAAGTGGAAAAGGTGCCTTTAAAAAAAAAAAAAAAAGCCTTGTGCTAGCTAGTACAGAATTGTTTGTATCCCTTTATTCTTTGACCTTATGTTTGAGGCCTTTTGTAAAAAGGTTAATTTTGTGTGTCCAACAATATGCAGCTTGGGTGTCTGGACACTTACGGCACTTACAGCACTTGTTGAAAGTTGTTGCCACACTTCAGCTACAAAACTGCAGTGAAAGGTTGTATGGTGTCTGTCTTCAAGTGGGGACCTGTGCATTTAGCTGATAAGCATTTGTTTCTAGATAATTTTCTTATAAATGTATTTCACGAGTGTTATTTGCATATATTTTTATAAATGTTAAGCTGTTCTCGTTGTGAAGCTTTTTGCTGAAAGAGAGGGAGACAATTGGTTTTGCTTCTGTTTTTTTATTTGAGGATTGTATGGTGAAGAAGAAAGCATGTACATGAACTGTTCTGTAGCTATCATGCTATGAAAAAGCTGTAAGATAATTTAGAATGTTCATAACACTTATTATGGAATTAGAACATGTGCATATTAACTTCTACAGTAATCTGTTTGCTGATGTAATGATTTTTTTTCTAATTTACGTTTAATGTAATTGGGAAGAGGTTTTGCCAAACTGGTTAATGAGAGATTGAAGAGGCTGCCATGAAAGACTGCAAGTGGTGCTTCTTGTTCTATTTCTTGTTCAAGTGCGTTGAGGGGCACCCAGCCAGTTGTAAACTTCTCCATGGGGTATGAGGTTGGCCCTGCTTGCCCTTGGAGACTTCTAGGTTGTAATGACCCTTCTGACGGAGGAAGCGTGGATGCAAGTGCCTCTGGCAGCCACCTGTGCTGTTGAGGATAGCCTCTCGAAAAGGGGATGCTGCTTGATCCGCTCTCTGTATCTTGTGGACACATAAGTGTTGTTCACAAGAAAGATTGAATTCTCGGCTTGCTTAAGTTTGGGTTATGGTGTGTTCCCAAATGCAGTGGGTGGAACAGCCTTCTGTAAGTTAATTCTAGTTCACTGTTTATCATGTTTTTTTCTCCATATGGCAAATGAGAACATCAAGCAATCTGAAAGCCATCTTGCATTGTTCTTGTGTTGGGTGGTATTTACCTGAGTAGACGGAATGAGCGAGGAGCTCTGAAATGTCTCTAGTTTACCTTGCCAACAGGTTTCGTTTATCTTTGCCTCATAAATTTCTTGTTTGAAAGTTTCCGGGAATTTCAGATGGCTGTGCTGCTGCTGTGACAATGTTGCCCTTATTAAAATGACCAGAATTTCAAGTTGTTTCAGTGCAGTGGGAGCAAGGCTTTTCTAACAAAAAGCGCTCCCTTTTCTGTTGCCTAGAAATGCAGAGTTTACATAAGGGCTTGCAGAGGAGCATGAGTGAGTGTGAGGAATTGTCATTAGTGAGAATGGAAGAAGCAGTCTAGCAGGAAAAACAGTTTGGTATTTGGAAGAAGAGAAGTAGTAAAATGGCACACTAGAGAGGGGAAAGGCAGCAGCTTTGCCAGTAGGGACCCATTGGAGACAGGGAAAAAAGGATGAAGCTAGCTGCCTTGTGAGGAGTAGTCTCACATTTGTGTGTGTTCATTTGAAAGTGAGTTTCCAGTACAAAATTCTCAGTGATTTTTCCGACAGAGATTTGGATCAGGGAAAAAAAAGAAATTCAAATACTGGCTTAAAGTCCCCCTTTAAGGGGGGGAGTATCTCAGGAGTTCGAAGATTGCCTTATTTTGGGACCACTGAGGGTTAGTTATGCAATGGGCTGTGTTGTATCCTGAACTGTCATTTGTAGGTCATCTTTTATTCTCTGGCTTTTGTAACGGATGCACTTCTAATTTTCCTAAATTTTTTTGTGACTTCCGAGGACTATGTTGAAGTCACTTATAAGCCAAATTGCAAACAAATCCAAGCCTTAGTTTGTTTAAAAGTAAAATAAAATAAAAAATGCTATGTGCTAGGTATGACTTTAGCCCAAAAGACTTGTTTTGTCAAGGGACAACGTGGCTGATCCTGCTTCTTCAAACACTGAAATCATTCTTTTGTCTCTACAGACGGTGTGCTTGATTTATCCACTAAGAAGAGTCCTTGTGCTGGCAGCACCTCTGTGAGTCATTCTCCAGGGTGCTCCAGTACTCCAGGAAATGGGTAAGAGAAAGCAACTTACTATGACCTTTTAAAACTGTTTTTACTAAAAATGTGTGCTTACCTCCTGTTAATTTTAACTCACTTTTGGTGTCAACCCTTTGGAGTAATGTGTTTTTCAGCTTGTACCTTTGGCAAATACCTTCACCCCACCTGCCAAATAAGAGTTGTTGCAAACTGAGACAGGTTTAACTTGCACTTAAGAACTCTAATTTGGTTCGGCCAATTTAGTACTTAGCTGAAGATCTTTCCATTACCTGCTTCTTGGGTTTAGTGAGAAGTGATGTCTGTGGAGATGCAACTTCTTTTAAATATGACTTAGATTTCATTTCACTTAAGGGAAAGCTAGCTAACAAGAAAGTTTATTTTAGGGGTAGCAATGATTTGGGTGATAATCCAAGCTGAATTAGATTTAAATCACTGCATGTTCTTTGTTAATATTTCCTACCATAAAACCACAACTTAAAAAAAGAAAAGGTGGGGAGAGGAGTCTGGTAGTTCAGAAAACATTAAATATGGCTTTTGGGATTTGTGATTGTACTGTAGCATTGAAAATTAAAAAAAAAATTATAAAATACGCGGTGTACTGTTCTTGCCTTAATCAGTTCAAGGTGTGAAAGAATGTTATATAAAAAAAAATCTTTTAGGTTTCATATTTCTAATGGTCACTGTTTACATACATTTAGAAACCTTTTACTTTTAGTGAGGGTTGAATTAATTGTACTGGAGAGGCTGACTGGGAGTAAGAGGGATTTTGGGTGTGGATGGGAGAATTTTATCTTGAAGCTACTGTGAACAAGTAGATTTTTAGTGAAGTACAGAAAAGGTACATGGTTTAAACTGCTAATTAATTGCTGGATTTAGCTTTACAATAGCCTTTGAAAATCTTGAAACTTTAAACTAACAACCCACCACCACCACCACCAATCCCGTGTACTGCTAACAACTGATTTAACTTTTGCATTTCTCTTTGGAAAAATATTACTGTCTCAGATCTCTCCCTTCAAGATTACTTTTTCCATTTAATATTTCTTATTAATAAAATACCTCAATCCTTGTTTAAAAGTTACTGTGGATACTTTTCCACAATTCTTCAGCATAAACCTTCCCCACTAGCTCTTCTCTTTCAATTCTGGACAGGTTATTTCCAGCTTTATTTTCCTAGCAAGGCAGCAGAAGCCACCGAGGCTGTGTATTGTTTGTTCCCTTGTTTGTGTATCAAGTGAGGGCCAAAGTCCAACACACAGGGATGACAGGGCCAGCACCTGGCACTGTTGTGATGGTCAAGGGAAGATACAGCATACTGGCACCTGTGGTTACCTGTACAGGTGTGGTAAATGAGGGTGACAGCAGCCTGTTGAGTATTGATGAAATCAGGTGTGACCCTCTGTCCTAATTAGCTGCCAATATGACCTTTATTTAGGTGTAGAATCACAGGTGCACATTCTGATGCTGATATATGCTGTACAGGGGGCAGAGAGTGCACATTGCTTGAGAATGTTGTCTGGAATAGCAAACTTTCATTTGTTTCTCTGGATTTTGTTCGGAATCCTTGTTGTCTCTTGTTACCCACTTCAACTATGACCTGTTGCATCCTGGAGCAAAGATAGCAGCATGTGTATCGAGCACTGTGTATGTTACATGCCAGGTCCTTTCAGTGGATATCTCTACTCTATAAAGATTTTTTTTTTTCTTAATCGCAGTGTGATGTTAAAAAGAATAATGTAGCATTTCAGCAGTACATGTCCTTAAATTACACTGACTTAGCTAAAGGGCTTTACACCAGTGTAGTGTCCCAGAGCATTAAAATGGAATTGCTTACTAGTCTTTTTGTTAATCCGTATGTTGAACATGGAAAAGTTTGGGGGTGGAATTTGAAACTAGTGTGATTTAGTTACTACAGGGGGCTAAGGAAGCAAAATATAAAAATACATATGTTTACCTGCAATAGTAGTACTTTGTGTCATAGAAAGAATACTTGTGATGAAAGGAAAATGGTAAGAATACATACTGCTTTTTCTGCTATTAACCCTTGATCTGGATGACAGTTGGAGCTTAGATCTTGTTTTTTCCTAGCCATGCGATGTATCAAAAGAGAGTCAGGGACGTGTATATATGCAAGTAGTTGTTAAGAGAGCATTTTGGTAAGTCTAGTGTAATGCAGTACTTTCATATTTGGTACTTAATGAAAGTCAAGCAAATACCCTTTGACGCCTGCTAAGCATTTTTTTTTTTCATCCTGAGCAGCAATTCTTCAATATGATGTAAGCGAACATCATCCAAGGTTTCCACCTATGCGTAGATACTGCAGGTGGCAGTCATATTTGCATGTTGAATGTGTTGCACTTTGGCTTACTCTTTTATTACTGTACTTGTTTAGTGGTAACGTCACACCAGTAACACAGTTGTGTGTAGATCTATGGCGATTGATTACTACTTTGTAATTAAGGTGCTATTTTCAGACACTTGCGCGAAGTCTTTTCTACTCCGAGAATTTGTGAACCCAACCAGAGACCAGCCAACAGGTTTCATTTTTCTTTGCCCAAAAAGCTTCTCTTTTTTTGTGAACAAGTTCTAAAACTGACTGATGCTGAGACTTTAAAAAAAAAAAAAAAAAAAAATTAAAAAAAAATTTAGAGAAAAATAAATAACACAAAAAGTGATGTTACCCAAGCAAGGCCTTCTAATAAAGGAGTGGCCCCCTCACCCATCCCTCCCTACCTGTGCAAGTCCTGCTCACATCAGTTTCCTTCCATCCAATTAGGCGACCTGGGAGACCCAGCCAGCACCATCCAGAGGGACTACAGAGTGGTGATGGGGTACCTCCAAGAAGCTTGCAGGATGGAACCAGGGAAGGTTATGGCCACTCCACATCTCTTAAAGTACCGCTGGCTCGATCACTCCAGATTAGTGAAGAACTGCTGAGCAGAAACCAGTTTTCTACTGCTGGCAGCCCTGGGCCATCTGGACTACAGAATCATGGAACGCACTTTATATTATCCAGGGAGGCTTCTTGGGCAAAACCACACTACGAATTCAATTTCAGCCGCATGAAATTCAGGGGAAATGGTGCACTCAGCAACATCAGTGACCTTCCTTTTCTTACAGAAAACTCTGCCTTTCAAAAAATGGCACTTCAAACTAAGCAGGATGGGAAAAAGGACGTGAGCCATTCGTCTCCTGTGGATTTAAAGATACCACAAGTTCGAGGCATGGACCTTTCATGGGAGTCCCGCACTGGTGACCAGTACAGCTATAGCTCTTTGGTAATGGGTTCACAAACGGAGAGCGCGCTTAGCAAAAAGTTAAGGGCTATCCTTCCAAAACAAAACAGGAGAAGTTTGCTGGATGCTGGACCAGATTCCTGGGGCTCAGATGCTGAGCAGTCTACCTCTGGACAGCCATATCCCACCTCAGATCAAGAGGGAGATCCTGGCTCCAAGCAACCTAGGAAGAAAAGAGGGAGATACAGACAGTACAACAGCGAGATACTGGAGGAAGCAATCTCTGTGGTTATGAGCGGGAAAATGAGTGTTTCCAAAGCTCAGAGTATTTATGGGATCCCCCACAGTACACTGGAGTACAAAGTTAAAGAGAGGCTGGGCACTTTGAAAAACCCTCCAAAGAAAAAAATGAAATTAATGAGGTCGGAGGGGCAGGATGTATCAGTAAAGATTGAAATAGATCCCCAGGGAGAAGCAGCACAAAGTGCAAATGAATTGAAAGATGAGTAGGGATGTTGTAGAGTGCCAATTACTTTGCAAACTGGGTGAGCACTACTGCATAGTTCAACCACCACTGAGCGCACCTGATTTCCCTGTTTACTGCAATGCTCTTTCCTTTGCAGTTTAGCATAGAATTGTGTGGACACAGGTGAAAGGTGTGCTCTGAATGTCACATTGTAAATTTTTCTAGCCTGGTATGGCGCAGTTTCCCTCCTTCACCTGCCCACTACCCCCTTTTTTTCTTCTTTGCCCCCCTCCCGCCCCCCTTTTGCCTTTTGCATGTTTCTCTGTAATAGAGAGTTGAGTTACCTCACAAAGAATGCAGATCTGTGGAAGTGGACATCTTGCCTGCCTGAACTGCTGGTGTTGGATTTTTCATTTCTGCCTTCATGGAAATAAGTCCACTTTGTTAAACTGATGCTCTCTTAAAACCAGGCTTTTTTTGAATGAGAATCAGACTGTCATTCTTCAAAATGTTTCAGAAATCTTTTTTCCCCTCCTTTTTTTGATCCAGTTGATTGAAAGATCTAAGCTAAATCAAGTTATTTAGGAGTGGTACCTCTCTTGAATTCAGAGATTTCTTTATTAGATGGATAATCAATTGGGTCTAATTAGGCTCTCCTCTATTTTCTTTCTAAAGTAAACATACTTACCATTCACTGTCTGCTTAGTGCTCACCCGGAGGGGAGGGGAGGGAAAACTTACATACACTACCTTCAGAATATGTCAGTTAATTATTTGTAACACTACCTTTGCTGTAATTTTGTTTGATGTTTTTGAAGGGTGATATTTAGACTCACCTGCTTGAGGATGTAGCCTTATCTCACGGAAGACAAGCTTCTCACAGTCAGGAGCAGTCAGGGTACATTAAATGATGTGTTAGGGTATGCCTCATTATAACAGAACTATGGTTCTTTGTGACCTTTATGCTTTTTAAAGACTTGATTCTGAGTTTACTAAACTACGTGGTTCCAACAACTAGTTTAAATGACTCTAATCTGGGGAAGGGGGATTTGTGTAACAAACTACTGTGATATTGCAAAAAAAGAAAAAAAAAAAAACAAAACAAAAAACAACAAACCCCATGAAACAGTGATCTCAAACGTTACAACCTCAGTAGTCTGCCCAAATATCCACATTAGTGAAGGAGCTTGTTAATGTTCAGGGAAGAAGTAAAACACTGGTAGCCTAATCTAATTCACGCTCTGCATCATATCTATCTGTAATACTGTCAGGGTCGAACACTCAATGAATGGGTGTTTCCTTTTTAAATATTACAGTTGCCAGTAGCAGGAATTAATCTAAGTCCTGCTTTTTTGTTGTTGTTTTTATTTAATCTGTTTTGATAGTGGTTTAGCACATGCTAGAATAAGCATTTAAACACCATAAAAGCACTCCGTAAACCACAAATCCAGTTTTTTTCAATATGATGATATCGTTATCATTATATGGAGATCCAGGAAAAGTTTTGTACAGAATTTTTATCTTTGATACTTTCTGCGGGAGTGGTCAGTAACTAGGTGGAGCTTACTGGACTTACCACAATATGACCAAATCGGAATTGCTGGTTCTTCAGGTAGAAACAGTTTGATCTTTATCTGTGCAAAAGGTAGATAGAATTACCATTTTTTTTCCCATTTGCACAACCAAAAGAAGCATTGGAGTTTTTGTGTGAGAGCATTAAGTGATGTCAGTGATTTAAAGCGGTTTCTCAAAGCTCGTGGGAGGGTGGCCTACATAGCCCTAGGGATGCTGAATGACTTCTCGAACAGTTGATTCAATTAGCCTCTGCCCCTCCCAGCAACTTCATATTTTCAAAGGTTAGGCACACCATTGCTGTTGTTTTAAATATGCACTGCTCATTCTTGAAACAGACTGGGCATTTGGCCCCAAGTATACTTTTGGTTTTGTTTACTTAAGATATTTTAGTACTCACAATCCTGGTTCCTCGTAGCTCTCTGGTTGTCATCTTGGCATTTAAAGCAGTTTAAGCTCAGTAGCAGTATATAAACTCTGCAATACGTTCCAGTTTAGCTGGTGATTGCCATAAAGGTGCAGTTAAACGTGTGATTTCATCTGCCGTTGGAGGTTATGGTAGAAAGTTTGCTGCAAGTTTAAAAAAAGAAGAAAGTAACACAGTTTTACTGTTCAGAGAGGTTTAACCTTTTGCAGTTGTCTTTATTTAAGCAACATGAGTTGAGTTTTATAAAACTTGTCACTGTAGTGTATGTGGAGTGCTCATTTTACTAACCCGAATTCTTTGTATGTGTATGTTTAAGTGGGTGACAATCGTGCAGCAGAAGAATGGTGTGCCTACCCTTTAATGCTGCAGTTTTAAAAGAGAATTTGTCTTGTCATTTCAGACTGTAGGCTAAGAATTGTAAATAGATAGTGAGAAGTTGAGTACTCTTTATTTGCTTTGGTTAGAAAGTGGATTTAAAAAAAGGAAAAAAAAAAAAAAACAAAAAACAAAAAACCAAACAAACCAAACACGTAACTTTCTCAGTTTAAATGTCCTGAGACCTGAAGATTGTAATACTCATGTCTGCAAAGCTTTCAAACACAACACTTGATCTGTGATAACTTAATATTCAGGTAATCGTTCTTTTTCGAGAAGCTTTTGAACAACCATATTTCCTCCAAAGGTCTCTGTTTAAAAAGGAAAAAATAGAAAAAAGTGTAGATTATTTTTTAAGCACTAATTGCATTACGTTGGTAACTGCAATATAAAATAGCCATTATTGTTTTGTGAAGCATGGTTGAGATTAGTTAGTGGTCCCTTTTTAAAATTTCATGAGCCTCTCAAAAAATAAAAACAAATTTTAAAAAAAGCTGCTGAATATTCAAAAGATATATATTTTACCTTATTGTAGGTTTTGTAAATTTAGTCTGTAATATTCAGGTGCACCTTTTAATGTTAACTTTTTGTTTCAAAGTCCCATCTAATGTATCTTCTCTGAGGTGATTCATCACATAAGACTAGTATCACTCGAAGTGCTGCAGTGATCACTAATGTTTTGTTTCATTTTTCACTACATATTTTTTGCAGGCGCTTTCAGTGTAGCTAACTAGTAGTATTTGGGATCATTTTAAATATATGATTGGAATTAATGTTTGTCCATTAGCATGCTTAATTTTCTGCTGACCAGCAGTTTGCATGGCCAAAATCCCTGGTTGACCATATTTTGGTGTGGGAAGGTGTGGTTCACTGCTGTCTTTGTAACAAAAGCCTTGTTTCTCATGTTACTTCTGGTAAGTGGATGCTTATGTTACTTGGATCACTTGGACAGGAGAGAAGGTTTAAAATCTTTCTCCTGCTGCTCTTTTGAGATCACATTGACGTGTAACATAGACAAACTGCAACCCTGTAAAAATCGAGACGTCGTTAGGAGGAGGCCTTTTGGGTATTTTTCGTCACTAGTTTTCTCTTGGAGAATGTCCATCCGATGTAGTTATTGGACTTAACAGTATTGTTGTGTACTACGTTGATGTAGCTGAAAAAGCCTGACAGCAAGAAACTGTGAATAATATTTGTGGCAGTCTCTGAAAACTAGTTTTTCAGTCCAAGTATCATGAAGGAGAATCCGTCTCCCCTACCCCATCCTAGAAAAGTAATTTTATATTTTGTGTGTATAAAGTTTTAAGAATCAAGTTTCATATTGTACTGAAGTTTAGGTGTCGCTTGGTAAATCTTTGCTGCAGCATATAATTGAAGATGAGTAAGGCTTAGTGTGGTAGGGGTCCTGGTGTGGAGTTAATTATCGTACAGTTCTGGTGAGAAAGCCCAACATGTATGAAATGTGTCCTTTTTTTTTTTTATTTGGACTTGTAAGATGTAAAAGTGCTTTTTTAGAACTCTGACCTATTACAAACTATTACCTCACTTTCAGCCAGCTGGATCCTCATTCCACGGTGTCGTAGGCATTATTGTGGCCGTAATGCTTGAGTACAGCTATAGAGTTGAACGTTTCCAGTTAGACATTGTAGGGACACGTTTCTGGACATGGTTTTTTTCTGTCAAAAGATACTTTATTTTCCAGTCATTCCCTGTTGTGGTTTTTGGTTTTTTTTAAAGGCTCAAGACAGTTTCCTTTAGAATTTCTCATTTTTCCCTGTTACACGGGAGAAGTTGCTGCATAAGCAATACAAGTATGCCTTTACTTTCTTCTTGTTGCAGAACTCATAGTTTGATGCTTGCATTGCCAACCTTATTGCTAGACCTGAAGCTGAACTCTGAATTTTCATGGCGATTGGAAAACAAATGATTTTTAACAAATGCAGGTATACAGGTAGAATAGTGCCTCTAGTAAGGGAATACATTCAGCTTCTGTGTTTCACACAACTCCTATACTACCGTTTTTGTAGAGCTTTCCAGTGCTTGAGGATATTCTAAACATGGGAGACAACTGCATATGTGTTGAGACCGTTAAAGAGCAGACGAGGAACAGTCTGTGCTTTGTCTTGTGGCATGCAGACATTTGAGTCTAAATATTTCTTTCATGAGAACCTGAGAGTACATTGCCTTCCCCTGGAAATTCACGGGAGCTGGCAAAGTGATTCAGGGGCTTTAGGGTTGAGTAAGCTTTGTATAGATTGGAACAACTTTTTAGTTATTACTGAATTGCTTTTTATATCATCTGCAGCGATTGTTATACAGGCAAAACTGGAATTATCATGTGTTTCTTTCCAGTTTACTTTGAAGTAATTCTCTTAAGATGTCCTTGAGTCTTAGGAGGAGAACACAGTGTCCAAGGAGTGAAGGGAACACCGTGCCGTTCCCTTGTTTCTCAAAAACAGTCTGCCTACATCTGTAATGTAAAGAGCTCTTTCTTCAGTGAAGACAAAATTTTAACTCTTTGGCGTAAGAATGCATACACTTGTTGCAGTCCAAACTCGTGTGAAGGCAAGCTTATTAACCTGTACTGAAAGCTTTGTCACAATATTTTAAATATCTTAAATTCTCTACCAAATGTTAGCGGTAGAACAGAAAGGGTTATTTCCCTCATTTTCCTGAGGATCAGACTTCTAGGTTTTCTCCACAAACGTTTCAGAAACTAAATGTAATTTCAGTCTAAGTCAATGTTGCTTTTTCTTGGCACCAGTAGATAATGTTGACTAATACTGCTTTTAAAAGCTGTACCTTAAAAAAATTTTGAGACTGGTTGTGGTAATGTAAAGATTCCCACTTGATCTCAAATTATGTAAAAAAACTCCCTAATCAGAACCTTCAGAAACCTGAAAATCTGTGCTGCTAGTTATATGCAGTTCTGTTGGATGTAGCAAAAACAATAACCACTACAGTTACTTATTTCTAATTATCCAGTGTATAAACACGATGTACTGTGATGACCACTAAGCCGAGAGGTATTGCGGACTCAAAATGATCTGTAAATGCACTCCACATATACCAGAAAAAAATGAAAGTTGACAGCATTGCCGTGTCCGTGTCTCTTCCTCTCTCCTGTTCTTGCTTTGACTGGGGCCAAGTCTCTCTACCAGTATTACAGCAGCAGTTTTGGACTTCATGTCCTATTGAATTATGCTTATATTCAGGTATTGTCATGAAAACCTTCGTGTTAAGAGAGCTTTATTTAATCCTCACAAAAATCTCTTAGCCTGCTGCAATATCGGTTTTTCTGGGTGAAGTACTAGGAGGAAGGATTTTTTTTTTTTTTTTTTTTTTTTTTAAACATCCCTGCCTCTGCCCTGTGCTTGCCTCTGCCAAATTGGCAAGTATAATTTAGAAGGACTCAAGATGATAACTCTACCTGATGGAGCAGGGACTGGGACACAGATTTAATTCTGACTGGAGCAGGAAAGGTTGATGTCGGAAAACAAATTTCTATAGTCATCACCTAGGACAGTCTAACTTCACTTTTTTTCCTACTTGGAAATAACGAAGACACTACTAAAGCTACTAATACAGTTTATCAACTACTTGGTGCTACAGTTCTCAAATATTTTTGCAGATAATATTTTTTATGGCTGCGTGAAAGCATATAAACTTTCCTGTCACTATAAAAAGCACTTGTCTGACCTATTCTAAAGTACCAGAAAAGGGATAAAGAACTGCAGCACTTTTTCTGTTACAATGCCAGAGTCTTAAGTAAATCTGGTCTTCAGGTTATGAGATATTTTAAACGTACAATCTAGGATCATTAATGGCTTTTCAGGTCAGATCACAAGTTCTTTTGGCATACTAATCTGTCTTTTAAAGACTAGTACAACAAAATATTCTGAAGTTCAGGCAGGGGATGTATATATACATGCCTGATGTTTTTAACTAATTATTTCAATAGGCCATTTCAGGGCTTGACATTTGGAATCTGGGATGATGGGTAGGGCAAGGTTTCCCAAACTGAAAAATCATTTTGGACCATTGTTTAATGTTCAGTTTGAAAACTGTATCACAAGAAAAATGGGTAGGGATTCTTTCTCCCTTATGCCTTCAGGGAATGAGTAGTATTTAGAATCTCTGGCTGAAATTCAAGCCTTTTTACCATGTAAATTTTTAATATAAACTCATTGACATGCTTTTTACATCTGAGGACTGAAAATGGATCTTAATGTTTAAGTTGTGGAATGGTATATTTCTTAAATGAAGGGGGAACATTTAAAAAAAAATAGATTAGAATACCAGCATTAGTGAGCTTAAGGAATTTTAGTATGTAATAGCAAAGTATAGCAAAGTATTTGATTAAACAAATTAATCTTGAATTGCTAGTCTGTAACTAGGTGCATTCTAATTTAGCAGGTGAATATTCTTTACTTACCGATATATGATGGGCTTTTTGCAAATAGAAACCTTTATCTGAGTCCCATGTGTTGCTTGTACTGATGGGATGTATGCTTACAGCAGCTTACTGCTGCTTTAAAATGTATAAAATATGTTTTGAGTGTTTGCTCATAACTCTTTCTAACCTCCACTTGTTAAATTGTCAGACATTGGTATTTTATCAGTCCGCAATGTAAGTTTAAACTAATGTTCTTAGGAATCCAACTTGTACACACACTGTTTAAAAACCCTCAGGGACAGTTTACACACTATCCTCACTCAATTCAGGTACTTGTACTCTCTTCTTAAACCTAGCAGTGACTTGTATTTTGTTTTGCTTTTCTTTTGACGTGCTGATAGCACATCCTTGATGAATGTCAACTTAAAACTCAGTTCAGGTATCCAGGTATAACTCAGCCAAACGGATTTTAAAGCTGCATATTTACTCTCCAGCACACAGTGCCTCAGACACTTATAGTGGCATTCTGTATATTCAGTTATTACTACTGAGCAGATCGCGTGGGGGTTCCTGGTATGTATTGTAAGAAATTCCTATGTATATTATATAATATGTATTATATTATATACATATATAGTATATATGTTATCTTAAACTTATATATTTTAAAATGCCACTACTAGCCAGCGCAGCTAAAAATGAAATACATTCCCAACTGCTTCTGCGAACCGCAGAGGCAGCCTCTTAACGTGGCTCTTGCTTCTCTCTCACCATAACTACTTCTAACCTCAAGCACGGGTCCTTGGCTGTCTGACCTCTACACTCTAGTTATGCAATGTCCTTAGAGAATTCTGTGCACTGGCCACTGTGATGGAAACCAATGGGCCGGGAGTGCTTTGAGTTTATTAGTAATTGTTCTGCCAAAGTTGGTGTTTGTATGACGAGCGTGTAAACCTGTCAGATAATCAGCAGAGGTCCAAGTCGGTGACGGTGTACGCAGCCGCTTCCACCTAAGTGGTAGGACCAGACCCTCAGCAGGTGTCTCCTCTTTAATTCTGAGCACTAATTCAGAACCTGTTGGCACTTAACATCTGTAGTGACGAGCCTCCGCGCTGCGCTCGCGAGGAGGTGAAACTTTAAAGTAAAATCTGCTGTTCTGCTATTGCAGTGATCTGTTGGCAGTCACAAGTCAGCAACACCTCTGCTCTATTATTTGACACTTTACATCTAAAAAGTCTTCTCTTTCTATTTATGTAACCCATAGTCTTTGAAGAGTATGGAAAATGGCATTTCTCTCTGACCTCTAGAAGTTCAAGTGTCATGGGAAAAAGAAAAAAAAACAGGAACCCCCCCTTTACTCTTATGGACCTCATTTCAATATACTGTTTACAGTTTGACGGAATTGTATAATTTAATATTTCTCTTGTACTGTAGTTTATATTTATTTACAGATTTTTTTTGTACTGTGTGATTTGAATTTTTTGTTCCTTGCTATGATCAATGTTTTATGTAGTAGAGCACTTATGATCACAAATTAAGGTTTTTGGTTTGATTGCACTACATTAATTTTTTTAATGCAGTTCTGATTTTTTGACTGGACTAAATAAGCTGTGTCTTAATGTATGTGATAAGTACTTTTAAATTTTTATTTCATGTGGTCCATTTATTTTTTGCATTGTATGTCAAAGCGCTAATTCTCTTGTTGTGCATGTGTAAGATTTAATGGCTCCATTGTATTATTTGACCATGTCATTTTGGAAACACATTCCCAGCTGTAACGTTGTGTATGGTAGTTTTCACTGGATGCTAGACTTTTCAAAACCACTATTCTTCTAATAAATTTTGTTGTGAAAAACTTTAAGGGGTTCCAATTCTCTTGTTTCTAGTGTGCTTTCTAAATGCCCGCACTAATCACCTGAGGCTATGAAACGCAAACTGTCACAAATCCAGAGAGGCAGGGGAGGAAGCGAAATAAAAGGTAAAACAAATTCCGGCCAAAGGATCAAGCTTCGGAGTCTCCGTGCTCTGTTTGGTTCTTGTCCTAAATAGGATTGGCGATAAAGCTGCTTTAGCAGCTGGGTAGGGAATACATGTGAAAGCTGAAACGCTGTCTTGTAGCAGCCCGGTCTCATGAACTCCCGTACTCTAATTTGCTCTTCCCTACTGGCCACCTTAATTTCTTTCATGATAAATAATTTATCTGGTGAAGAACGAACAGTCTCTCAGGGGGGTGGAAAAAAGAAGTGATGTAGGCTTGTTCATGGAGCACTTAGTAGAAGGCAGGAGCGACTGTAGCAAAGCCTAGCTGGGAGCCCCAGCCGCTGCCTGGCGCGGCTCCGGTCCGCCTGGGGGCGGGGGGTTCGGCTTGGGCTGGCGGCGGGGCAGCGTGCCCTCTGGCAGCTGGGAGCGTGCCGGGGAGATGATCCCCAGCTCCTGATTAAGACACAGAAAGCTCCGGCAGCCCTGTCCTGCTGCCCTTCTGCACAGGGGCACAAGGCAAATTCAGCCGTGGCACCAGGCCTCAGCTGGCCCTTGGTCGAGACCCACGTGTACTTTCTCACGAGTGTGCTTTGGGTTGAACTACTTTTGACGTTATGCATTATTGATACCGAAATGCTGAATACTAAAAAGTAGGTTACAGTAAGTGGTGTGTAATGGAACCCACGTGAGTTTTGGCATTTCTGCTAACCTTTGTGTTCAGTCCTGGGATGATTTTGAGAGATGCATAGGGATTTCTTAGGTTTAGGAAAATTTATAGTGCTGCACGCTGTCTAGCCCAGGTTTCTTTTCTCCTGAGAAATTGCCTTTCTCAGCTTGTGCTTTTGAAAAGTAGGTAATTTAGGGTTTGCATTTGCGAACATGATTTTTCAGTGTTTTTTTTTTTTTTTTTTTAAAATCCTTAAATAACCGGTACGTTGCAAACTAGCTGTTGTATTCTTTGTATTCTAATATTGGTATTAAAAACAAAAAGCAAAATAGTAAGGTAAGGTTGTTGGTAATTGTAAGGGTGTTGTCATTGGTGTAGCTTTGCTGGACAAATCTCTTAAATAAAAAACTTGGTTTGACTAAAGGCTGCATCTCACACTTATTTGGGAATAAGGAGTCTTTATGTGTAAATAGCTTGAAAGCCTTGTGCTGTAAACTAACATTTATCATATTTTTTTCTGTATGTCTGAATACATCTGTCAAATCTATGAAAATAGCCTTTGGAAGTGATGAACCATATTCCCATCTGCCATTTTTTAGGATGTATTGCATTCTGCAAGCTTTTCCCAGAACATTTTTAATTGACACTTTTAGTCCTGTGATTATCAGAAATACCAAGTTTTTCAGTTTTTCCTGGAGGACTTGCTGATGGTCTCACACTGTTAAGATGGAGTTGTTCAGAATTAAAGGAACACAGTCTTGAATTCTTCTTTTAAAGCTGTTTTCTGTATTACAAATACGTGTCATGACGAGAGTGCAAAAGATGTTACACACAGACCCAGAAAGAAGCATCCATGAAGCTGTTGTAGAAAAGTGACCTAATTAGCCCTGCTAGGCAGCTTAGAAAGTCTTCTGCTACTTTGTCTCAGCTCATTTCAACTCGGGATGTGTTCTGAGCTGCTCCAGTTTGTTGTTGGAAGAGGCAGCTGCCTCTTCTGAATCTGCAGAAGCGTATCTGGTCGCCTTCTGAAGCAACGGATGCTTCATGGAGTAGCAGTGGATTGTGCCCCCACATACACCTGGGTGTCACTTGCTACGCTCCAGATACTCTAGCAGATGTGAAATGAGAGGCTCTGCTGATGGCTCTTCTGTGAGAATGTGTCCTGTGAAGGGAAGGGCAGAAAGCTCCAGGTCACTGCCTGCAAGCGTTGGGGTTAATGCTAGTATCACAGAAGGATTTGGTTGGAAGGGACCTCAGAGGTCATCTAGTCCCAACCCCCCTGCTATGGGCAGGGACACCTTCCACTGGACCAGGTTTCTCAAAGCCCTGTCCAACCTGGCCTTGAACACTTCCAGGGATGGGGCATCCACAGCCTCTATGGGCAGCCTGTTCCAGCACGTCACCACCCTCACAGGAAAGAATTTCTTTCCTAGATCTAATCCAAATCTACCCTCTTTCAGTTTAAAGCCATTACCCCTTGTCCTATTGCTACAGGTCCTTGTGAAAAGTCCATCTCCAGCTTTCCTGTAGGCCCCTTCAGGTACTGGAAGGCTGCTATGAGGTCACCCCGGAGCCTTCTCTTCTCCAGGCTGAACAGCCCCAACTCTTTCGGCCTTTTCTCCTAGGAGAGATATTCCATCCATCTGATCATTTTTGTAGCCTCCTCTGGACCTGCTCCAACAGGTCCATGTCTTTCCTGTGCTGAGGGCTCCAGAGCTGAACACAGGACTCCAGATGGGGTCTCAAGACCTGAAAATAGGTGACTTGCTGACCTCAGCTGTTGTGTTGGACATCAGCTTAAGTTTTGTGAAAAAACTGATTTAATTAAGGAAATTACTGATCATCACAATTTCATCTTCTTGTACCAACCAAAACCGAGCCCTTGTGTCATGGCTGCTCGGAGTCAAGCAGCAGCAAGGCAAAGCTTGCTCTGGCATCCTCAGCAAGGAGGATCACCAGTGGCTTTCCTGCCTCAGCGTGCTGGGCTCGCTGATTTCCTAGAGGCCTGACAAAAGTGGGTCTGGGGCGAGGGGGAGGATTTGTATCCCGATTCAGGAAAATACTTCAAGAAGTCACTGATTTCTTAATCTGCAAACTCTGCTCTGCCTGATGCCCAGCCACGGGTACTTGCTGAGCTGTGGCTTGAAATGGATGCGAGTAGCAGATCCTTGGACCTCTTTAGCAAAGGGTAAAAATGTGTAGAGTAACAGAGGTACAGACCAAAAGCAATTTCCAAAGCAGAGCTTGGACTGTTAGGGGCAAATCCAGGAATATTGAGTTTGATACCATGAAGATGGCAAAGAGATTAAAATAAAAATTGATCTTTTTAATAGTGTTATATAACTATTATCTATGTGTTATATAATTAGACGCTTTAACAGATGTTATAATGCTGGGAGGATCCCGTAGAACACCGTTTGTGGGAGTACTGTGTCCCCTGGTCTGGCTCCTTTGTTGCAGCCTCTGTGACTTAAAATCCAAGATGTTCTCAATTGTCAAGTAGGAAATTCAGAAGAAATCTGAATGACTTCACACTCGTGAGTTACGAATTAGTCAAGTTCCTTCTTGCACACCCCCCCAAAAACCCCAGACAACACAACCTTTAAAAGCTCGCTTTTAGAATCACGAAGAGGGAGCACAAAACACTTGAATCTTGTTTTTACAGGTCACTTTTAAAGTATCAGAATTTACAGGTTGCGTTTGAAAGAAAACTTGTAAAATCTTCCCTTGCCTCCTCCTCTGCGGGTGTCACACAGCTCCGCAGGAGGTCTGCTGACTACACGCTTGACTAAAAGACAGATTTTTGTATGAGATGGCTACTGTTCAAATCTCCAGGAACTGTTCAAAAGATCAGCTAAAATTAGGAGTGCTTAAGGTATGTTTCAGAGCATAGAAATATAAGCACTGCTACCTAAAAACGCGAAGGTTACCGGTGTGAAAATACAGCTGCGTCTCCTCTCGGGACTGACCGGAGTCCAGTGGTGGGTCGGGCGGCACGCTTCGCCCAGCCCTGCGCAGGCTTCTGCCAGCTCTCCCTCTCTGCTGGAGCCTGGGCTGGCTCCATCACCGCCGGCACATCGCAGGTTGTGCCTGCCTGTGCTGGACTCCTGGCTCCGGGACCAGGTCAGACAGCCCTGTGCCGACGTGAGGAATGGTTTGTCTGTGCAGGGTCGTCAGCAAACAAAACTGATAGTGCCAAACAGGCAGTTTTGTTACACCTGCCAAGGTTTGGAGGTTTTTTGCTGACGTGCACCCAGATCCCATCATCACGTGTCCCAGATCCCTCCTGCCCAGCCAATAAAGTGTAGGCCTCGCTTCACTCATTTCAGAATGACATTCCTGACTTTGAAAGGGCCTTTTATGGTTCCTTAGCCAAGCCTTTGGCTGTGCTTTTCTTCTCACTGAGCGTTAGAGGAAGGCTCTGCCACTGATTGCTGAGAGTTACTCTGGTGCTGCAGGGCAAAAGCTGGCTCTGGGAGAAGCCGAACAGCTTCCCCACACATGTGAAGGGGTTTTTGTACACACCGCAGGTACCTGCTGTAATCGAAGCCTGCGGTGCGTGCTTGGAGACTCCAGTAGTTTCTGCCATGTTCCCCTCTTAGGTGAAGGAGGTGGTGCAGTTTTTTCGCGTTTTCAGATGTGCTGTGGTCACACGTGGCGTCTTCCTCAGGTTCCTTTCAGGCCTTTAAAGCAAGTAGCTGCGTGCGAGCTGTTAGCAGTGCTTTAAAACAAACTATTTGACTTTGAAAGGAGACTGTGAAAAAAGGCACTGTATGATTCTGGTTTTGAATAAGAAGCTGTCATAACAAATGTACTCTGTTTGTACGGAAATAGGTGTTTTCTTCTGATTTCCAGCCATCAAACATCAGCCCGAGATGTCAAAGCTCAACCAGCTTACTCGGTACCCGAAGTGCATTCGCTAATAACAAAGTTCTTTTTGGACCATGGCAAGAGCTACCTAACCTCACTGCTCGCTAGAGGTTTGCCTGGCTGTAGTTCAGTGAGATTTTCTGCCAGTGCATAACAAGAAGTAGATTTTTGCTCCTGTTTCAGAACCTGTGTTGGCTTTTCTCTGGTAGACAGACACAAATGTGTACGGCAAGGGTGACTGCTGGGCTGCTCTGTAATTCTGGCGTTCTTGCCTATCCCTGTCCTCATGTCAGCGCCTTTACTTTTGTTTGAGTGTAAACTGGGTTGCTAATTGATAAAA